GCACGTATGTATGTACGTATGTATGTATGCACGTATGTACGTATGTATGTATGTATGTACGTATGTATGTATGTACGTATGTATGTATGTATGCACGTATGTACGTATGTATGTATGTATGTACGTATGTATGTATGCACGTATGTATGTACGTATGTATGTATGCACGTATGTACGTATGTATGTATGTATGTACGTATGTATGTATGTATGCACGTATGTATGTATGCACGTATGTACGTATGTATGTATGTATGTATGCACGTATGTACGTATGTATGTATGTATGCACGTATGTACGTATGTACGTATGTACGTATGTATGTATGTACGTATGTATGTATGTATGTACGTATGTATGTATGTGTGTATTTCACTCTAAAAATATTGTTTGGAGCTACCTGAAGTAAAATATTTATACTCTAAAGATTTTGATAAATGTTTAGTCCACTTCTCAATTCAATATTACAAGGACCTTATGATTAAAGTAACCGTATAAAATCATGTTTTTGTTGTTTCCTTTTTTTTTGTCCGATTTACGTCTTCGCTTTGACGAGATCCGAAATTTAACTGAAACCTGGTTAACTCCTGGATCAACAGGATTTTTGTAATTGTAAAAATTCGAGGTCAAATATAAATGGGTGAATGAGAGATGACTAAATACGCAGAGAAATGACAAATAGATTACATCGTTATCGTTTAAACAGAAAATAGTAGATATGTACGTATTTGTCACTCCAAATAACATTTGCCCCCAAAAAAGGGATTTTTCATTTCCTTCTTTGTTTCTAATTTCACGAAATATTTGCTGATGTGAGCCTCTTTGAGATGAGGCACACACCCCCCTCCCGTTTTATTTATTTCTTTTTCAGGAGATCTGTTGTCTTTGAGATGTGGTATCAACCCTCTTCCCTGTTTTGTTTAGTTCTTTTTCAGGTGATATCTTGTCTTTGAGATGTGATATCAACCTCCACCCCCTGTTTTGATTAGTTCTTTCTCAGATGATCTCTTGTCTTTGATATATGGTATCAACCACAAGTTTTGTTTAATTTTTTCTCAGGTGATCTCTTGTCTTTGAGATGTGGTATAAACCTCCACTCCCCGTGTTTCGTTTAGTTGTTTTTTTCAGGAGATTTCTTGTCTTTGAGATGTGGTATCAACCTCCACTCCCCGTGTTTTGTTTAGTTGTTTTTTTTCAGAGATTTCTTGTCTTTGAGATGTGGTATCAACCTCCACTCCCCGTGTTTTGTTTAGTTGTTTTTTTTCAGTTGATTTCTTAGTACGAAATATGGCTAGTGTAGATAAGTTATTAACCAACCTAAGTCACCTGTTTTATGATAAAAAACCATTTGAAAAATTACATACCTCTTTTAAGTTTATGTCATCAAATAGTCTGAACTATCTATTGTAAAAGAAAGGGATGAAGTGCTTAGAATCACGTGCGTCAAAGTACTATTTCACTGATCGTATTTGTTTCGCAACATCGCCTGATGATAACGAAACATCCATCAATTTGATCTTCAAAGTGTGTATGTGCTCGCTGTTATAAAATACATAACTTAAAGAGTCAGGTGATACTGGCAGTGCACACAAAAGATTGTAGTCAATTTCATGAGAGCAAACTAATAATAATAATAATCACGTTATTTCATCTCTGATTTGAAATACTTAGAGCCAAACGTTATTTAAAAACGGTAAAAAGTGAGTGATTTGTTATTCGTACATTTAGTCTATCAAACACTTGTATTTTATCCACTGAAACATAATTTAACAGCTCACAAGAACTAGGCCTACTATTGGAATACGTTTTTAAAATAAACTATGCCATTAAATTAGCAAGTTTGGTTCGCAAACACTGCAAAGTTTCTATACGTCGACTAGTTGCACCTTACTATTTACACAAAGACAAGACAAATCTAACATTTGAAGGAAATATAGGAAAGAGATAGGATTACATTGAGGCTAAGTAAGTTAAACACACATTTCCTAACAGGGTGAATAGAAAGTAAAGGAAAAGGGGAGACATTAATAAAACCCAGGACGAGGTGGAAAATATATATATATATATATATATGTGAGTGTGTTTGTGTGTGAACAGATGAAACGACCGAAGGCACGCGGGGTTGGGTGTGAGCATTTCGGCTACAGATCTAGTCTAACATCAATAACTTATCTTATATGTAGTGAAATAGCTGGTGTGAATACCCTCTCAACAACAGGAAATTTCTTCAAATCTTCCTACTTAATTAACCTTCTTCTGGTCGCGTCAGTTTATAATAAGGCTCACTGCGTTCAATAAGCCTACGCATGTCCGGGGAAGACTGAATTTTTGAGAATATTGTTCATAAGACTATGCTTTTTTTTTTTTCCCGGGTCAATCCTTAAACTTAACAACTTCACAAGGAAACTACATCATTTTTTTTTTCACTTCTAGAATAAGTATACGGTGATATGCAAATCGAAATGTTGAACATGAAATAAAATTCATTTCTCAGCGGAGCACCAAGTTAGATCAGAGTACGCGCTTTACACGGGAGTTGTGCGCCGCAACGTTTCAAACGAGAACTCACGAGAGTATTCTCTGTTGATGTCAGCGGTAGTTGACACAGTATAGCACGTAGTGTCCCTAGAAAACGGAGGGAAGTTGTAATAAGCCAAGTCTTTCATTGATTCGGATAACGGTATGCCAGGGTTTGTGTTGCGGCGCCCTCTACTGGTAGACGGGCAAGGTGAAGCTTCACGCGACGTATCTCGCGTTCGACTGTTACGAGGACCGCGTGGGTGACGCCTGCATGGAATATGGTCCTCCCCTGATTGTAAAAACTCTTCATATTTCAATCTTTCCACGTATTTCTTAGAATCAAGTTTATACCACTGAATGTATAGGTAAAGAGAGAAGGTTCCGGATAATTCACATATTAAGATGCTCGCAATCGTGAAGGCGAAAGTGTAACCATAACGATATTTAAAGATCGGCCCTTGGAAAGAGGATTTCGGTTGAAGTTTATTCCCAACTTCAGCTTTGAAACTTGAAATATAGATGACCACACCCATGAGAACAAGCAACCCTAGAGAAAGAGAAAAAATATTTACAAACGTTATAGTATATATATATATACATATATTATCGAAAGATTATAAAATTAAATCCATGTTCATTAAAGAGAAAGTAGGCCTAAGAAGTCAAATAAAATATTGTTCGTTTTTAATAAATTATAAGGCAATATTTGATTATTTCCTGTTTGAAAATAGCACATTCTAATACTTAATTAACTTTTTTAATACGAATTATTATGTTTTCTTCGAAAAAAAAAGTAAGTTAGTTTAGGGTGGCACATCAACTATAACAAACTGTTTCTAATTTAGGTTTAATCGAATGTTACCATGAGCAACCTGTTTTTGCTTTAATGTTAATGTCCTTTTAATCTGGATGTGCAACAATATAAGAGAGTTAACAATGCTCGAAAATTGCTACGAACTGCCCCCCCCCCCTAGTGGCACAGCGGTATGTCTGCTGACTTACAACGCGAGAAACTGGGTTTGAATATCCGTGGTGGGCAGAGCACAGATAGCCCATTGTGTAGCTTTGTGCTTAACTTTAAACAAACAAATACTGTGCTACAAAAATTTTCGTCTGCAAAATTCCGCTGTGACGTACGAAAGCATGGCAACGGTATTGACAACTAGGCAACATTATTGTGATTTGTTGCCCGTCTTTCAAGGCAACATTGAAAATGTTTCATACGACGTGGTGCGCTCTCGGCCAATCACAACAAAGAATTCGTGTTGAGGGTGGAGGTAGAATAAATGCATATGAAAACTATAGAGTTTATGGTTAGGATCAGGATCAAATAATTTGTCCCACTTTTTGTCTAAGATCTTTAATATGTTGCTAAGTTAGTTCAAATAAAAACAAAAGTTGCAGAATTGCGTTACGTCAGTGTCTCAACCCTACACCTCAACAAATCTATCGTTGTTGCTTAATACTCCTACAGAAGTTTTAATTCCGTAGTTCAATGATCTTACCACCAGGTGGCAGTCAAAATAAACCATGTTGGTTTCTCAATTGAACAAAATTTTCCACCGTATTTTCACGATGCGTGCAATAGAGGGTTATCTTTAAGACATTTTCCAGTAACTGACCTATCATCTCTCATTATACATTTTTAATTATACCAAATTTGAAAAAAAAAAAAAAACAAGCTTTTAAAATGTTAGATGGTTGATATATATATATATAAGTGTTAGTAATGTTCTCTTTTTTCTCTGTTGTTGAAAATTTCAAGGTCTTGAACAAACTCAAGAGGATTCTAAAAGTATTGATAACTAATATTTTTGTTTGTTCGTTTCAGAGAAAAGCCACATGGGGCTACCTGCTGTGACCACCACAGTGAATCGAACCGCGGATTTCAGTATTGTAAGTCCTTAGACTTAACGGGGACTTTTTTTTTTGGTTTTGTAATGGTAGATGTGATTTCAAAAACTAATTTAGTAAAAGTTATATTTATATTAAAAGTGAGTTTGTACAGTGGAATAATATATTTATATCACTTGACAACAATTTTTTTGCACAATACATCACAAGTTCTACATAAAACCACAATATTCTTCACTATAACATACACCAGGAAATTTAGGTTGCTTGACTCGCAATCTGCGGGTCGTGGGTTCGAATCCCCGTCGCACCAAACATTTTTCAGCCGTGGGGAATTATAATGTTACAGTCAATCCAACTATTCGTTGATAAAAGAGTAGCCCAAGAGTTGGCGGCCGTTGGTGATGACTAGCTGCCTTCTCTCTAGTCTTTCACTGCTAAATTAGGGACGAGTAGCGCAGATAGCCCTCGTGAAGCTTTGAGCGAGATTCAAAAACAAACAAAATAGGTATGGAGAGTTTGAAGATGACATTACTCTTTGTGTGTGTGTGTGTATTTTTATAATATTTTATTTCTCTTACGTTGTCTACGCTTGATGTTAGCCTCCTAGTGGCACAGCGGTATATCTGCGGACTTATGACGCTATAAACCGGGTTTTGATACCTGCGATGGGCAGAGCACAAATAGCCCATTGTGTAGCTTTGTGCTTAATTTCAAACAAACTATAAACTTGATGTTAGATTGTATCTTCGGTTTCTTCATTTTTTAAACCAAAAGCAGTGTTGTTTCGTTACTTGTGATATTTAAAGTGTCATATTTATTAAGGCCCGGCATGGCCAGGTGGTTAGGGCGCTCGACTCGCTAACTGAGGGTCGCGGGTTCGAGTCCCCGTCACACCAAACATGCTCGCGCTTTCAGCCGTGGGGTGTTATAATGTTACGGTCAATCCCACTATTCGTTGGTAAAAGAGCAGCCCAAGAAGAGTTGGCGGCGGGTGGTGCTGACTAGCTGCCTTCCCTCTAGTCTTACACTGCTAAATTAGGGATGGCTAGCGCAGATAGCCCTCGTGTAGCGCAATTCAAAAACACACACAAAGCATATTTATTAAGCCCGTTTTACAATCATTGTTTTAAAAATAGTTTCCAAAAGTTATGAAACTAATGGTTTCTTTGGATAGCTTGTTTAAGAGAAGAAATTCAAACAACTGCTTAGATTACAAAGTTCTCCTAACAAGGTTAGTTTTTCTGCAAAGGAAAAGATAATTTAAAAAGGGATCACCAAAGAAAGCAAATGTCTAAGGCTGACTTGAAAAAAAAAAATGGAGCAAGAAATTAAAACAACATAATGTAGTCAAAGTGGCGACGTTTTATGATATTTTCGTCTTTCAAAACACAAACGTTCTAGTCTGTAACAAACCGTTAGAAGTCCTTTGGTGTTCCATACAACTTCTTATCGATCTTTGCTTCTCCAGAAGGACTAAGGCCGCGCCATCAATGTGGATTATTTCTGTTCCCATAAATTCAGATTTGTCTTGTCTCACGTCATGACAAGTTAGCTAAAACACAAATGGCTGAACAATGTCGCCGTTAGGAATATCCGACTGTTCAATAGCCACCTGGTGACCATGTACAGTAAGATCTTCAAATCGTAGAAAACTTTCTCAGGGCATTTCCCGAGGGGAAATTGATGTGATAACTGAAAGAAAGCTCTTCTCATTGTCGACTAAACGAGTAAGATTGGCCTTCTTAGCTTTTGGTCTCACGTTACAAAAATACTATCAACACGATAGAAAAGAAAAACATTATTGGGTCAAATTCATCTCCAATAAAGTTTCTGTCATTTTGTTAGTAAATTTTATATTGTTTGAAAAGAAAGCTCAGGTTTTAGAGGCATCTTAAGAAGGTGTGCGAAATATTAAAGTCATAAAGAATATACAAATGAAGGTGGTCCTTCAACAAGTAATTTATTTTTTATTAACTTATCTTGATATAAAATATCCAGTTATGCTTCGCGATTTTTTGAGAGAATAATAAATACAAGAAAAGTTATGAAGCTGAAGTAGGGGCCTGCTGGCGTAAACTGATTTGGTCAAAAATGTCATGTTTAAAAATGTGAAGTAGTTTTTGGTGTAAACTGATTTAGTCAAAATGGTCATCTTAAAATATATGAAGTAGGGGTCTGCTGGTGTCAACTGATTTGGTCAAAATGGTCATGTTAAAATATATGAAGTAGGGGCCTGCTGATTTGGTCAAAATACCATGTTAAAAAATGTGAATTATGGGCCTGCTGGTGTAAATTGATTTGTTCAAAATGCCATGTTAAAATATATGAAGTAGGGACCTGCTGGTGTCAACTGATTTGGTCAAAATGCCATGTTAAAAAACTGAAGTAAGGGCCTCCTGGTGTAAACTGATTTGGTCAAAATGCCATGTTAAAAAATGTGAAGTATGGGCCTGCTGGTGTAAACTGATTTGGTCAAAATGCCATGTTAAAAAATGTGAAGTAGGGGTCTGTTGGTGTAAACTGATTTGGTCAAAATGCCATGTTAAAAAACTGAAGTAAGGGCCTGCTGATGTCAACTGATTTGGTCAAAATGCCAAGTTAAAAAATGTGAAGTAAGGGCCTCCTGGTGTAAACTAATTTGGTCAAAATGCCAAGTTAAAAAATGTGAAGTAAGGGCCTCCTGGTGTAAACTAATTTGGTCAAAATGCCAAGT